CTTTCCCTTGTCTATGTTTAATCATTCTGAAACAAGTCTGGTAAAATACAGATAAACTCAGACTGCTAGTTCTGATATCAAGGACCTGGACAAGCTTGAGCAGTGGATCCATATGAACCTCGTGAGGTTCAACAACACCAAATGCAAGGTCCTGCACATGGGTCAGGGCAACCCCCAGTATCAATACAGGCTGGGGGATGAAGGGGTTGAGAGCAGCCCTGTGGAGGACTTGAGGGTACTGGTGGATGACATGGTGGACATGAGCTGGCAGTGTGCGCCTGCAGCCCAGAAAGCCAACCGTATCCTGGGCTGCATGCAAAGCAGCGCGACCAACAGGTCGAGGGAGGTGATTCTGCCCCTCTACTTTGCTCTGGTGAGACCCCACCTGGAGTACTGCATCCAGCTCTGGGGTCCCTGGTACAAGAAAGACATGGAGCTGCTGGAACAAGTCCAGAGGAGGGCCGCTAAAAATGATCAGAGGGCTGGAGCAGCTCTCCTATGAAGACAGGCTGAGAGAGTTGGGAGTGTTCAGCCTGGAGAAGAGAAAGCTCCAGGAAGACCTTATAGCAGCCTTCTAGTACCTGAAGGGGGCTTGCAAGAAAGATGCAGACAAACTTTTTAGTAGGGCCTGTAGTGATTGGACAAGGGGTAATGACTTTAAAATATTTAGATTAGATGTTAGAAAGAAATTCTTTACTGTGAGGGTGGTGAGGCCCTGGAACAGGTTGCCCAGAGAAGTTGTGGAGGCCCCGTTCCTGGAAGTGTGCAAGGCCAGGTTGGATGAGGCTTTGGGCAACCTGGTCTAGTGGAGGGTGTCCCTGCCCATGGCAGGTGGGTTTGAAGTAGGTGGTCTTTAAGGTCCCTTCCAACCCAAACCATTCTAGGATTCTTTAAGGTGAAGAAGATAACTGTCACAATGCAAGGGTTTAAAGCATTATTATTTGGGAAAAGTTGATTACAAATAGACTTAAAAGTATATATATGTATCCAGATACTGCCTTGTCAGACATAAGGAAAAACTATGCTTTTTGTAGCAATTTTTTCCAAATGTTTGGTGATCCTTTTGTGGTGAAAGGTTTCTGTCCTTGGCCACTTGTTTTATAGTGTTCAGTATAGGCAAGTGAGCCATGCTAAATAGTCACTTTAAAAGCTGTGAGGTAGGCACCGGTATTCTAAACAGAGATTTGGTGCTCTGAAATACAGCTTTGCAGTAGTGTTTTCCTAAATGTCCAGCAGACTTTTTTCTATGCTATGCTAAACTTCACTGTGTTCTTTATTCCCTCTTACAGCAGCTTTGTTTATAAAATGCACTTTTAAAGGCAGCCAACTGAAGAAAACTTTGTGTTAAGCATTTTCTTCCTCTTAGAATTTTTTTTAAAAATTAAAATAATTAATTAACCTGCCCTTTTATCTTCTCCATTATGGCCTTTTAAATACAGCCTATGCTTGTCTAGATGCTTGGCTTATGTAATTTAATGTACAGCTGTATAAAGGCAATATATTCAGGGTGGAATTCTGCCAGAAAGAGGCAAACCCTAAAGTTGTTCACATTTTGCCTATGGGTTGTGGGTTTTCTTTGTAAATGCCACCTTCTTCCCAGCACAAGAGCGCACTTCTTGTCCTAGCTTTACTGGATGAATATCAATATAGTCATATATCTAAAGTTGGAGCTGAGAAGCTGTCTTATGTCCCCTGCATTAAAATTATATATGGCTCCATGGGTTGGGTGATGGAAGCATTTTTGGTGGTTTGGTGGGGTTTTTTGTTTACTGTGTATGTTGCAGTGGCCCAAGTCAGTGATTTGTGGTGCTGGGTGTAAGAGGGCTGGTCTAGGAGTGCCGTATTGCTGGGTGTCGATTCTGTCTGTCATTGAGGAGCTGCTGTTCAGGTATGACATTGCCTGGTGGGGAGGATCTCTCACTACATGGACCTTGCTAGAGAGTTCACAAAGTCTGAGTTACCCAGTTACTAAGCCTACAATAGCATTTTTAAGTATTTCCCAGAAATGATCACTGTATTTTAGTATTTAATATTTGTGTGGAGATCTCTAGGTCAGTAATAAGTGATATAAATTGTTCAACTGTGGCACCAAAAATAATGTTTACCTATAGCCACTTTCTAATTTTAAAATAAAAAAAGAAAGATGTTTGCTCAGGCATACTGCTGTGAATTGCAGAACCACCTAGAGAGTTTCTTGATTAATTTACCAGGGTAGGATCCTTTGAAGGCATCTACTCAGAGTTCAGTCAAAGTTACGTATGAATATACCAAATGAGACTTATTGCAGCTCTTACCCCGAGCCCATGCACAGCTGAATGGGATTTGTCTCACGACTGAGCAGCTGAGTAATTGGCTAAATCTTGTCTAGTGCTTTGTCATAGTTTCTGAAGTTTGAAGGAAGATGTGTAATCCTGGTGAGAGCGAGATTGAAAATCAGGCATTAAATGGGTCTTGCGGTATGAGTAGTGGTAGCCTTCCAACACATGCCGCAGGAAACCTTCATACATTTCTCTTGTCACTATTGCAAGAGCTCCTTCCTGTTTCTGTATTCATGTGGTAAAGTCGGTTCAGAGTAGTCATGTTCAGATTAGTGTCTGTCTCCATAATTTGTGGTTCACATAATTTCACCCTGTCACCAGTGTCACATTAGGAGTGTTACTTCAAAGTAGCTGGATGCCCAACAGAAGATTACATGAGTGACAGTCCATTGCTGAATTTACTGAGCCATCTTTCTCTGCCTGCGTTTTCTCAATTCCCTGCTTTATTTATAATGTGGAAACTTCCCCCATGGCTCTTCTTAGTGTAGTTGATTAGCTTTATTTTACAGACAATGCAACTGACACCTGAGGTTTTATTTTTTGTTGAGTGCGTGCTGTGTGATGGAGGCTTGGATTTGAGAAGTAAACCTTCTGGGCTCAGTCTCTGGTTTTGCCAAAAGTAACTTGCTTATTTTCCATGCCCAGAAATAACTGAAGCTGTGAAACATGTTATAAGGTTGTAAAAGCTCAGTATTTGTATGCCAAAAATCTAAGCCAGTCCAAGCGTCTTCAGAAGGAAAATGATCAACTGTAGTGTTACCTTCATAGGTCTCTTCTTAAGTCATATCATAAAAGGTAATATTTTAATATTGCTATCATTTAATTTTCAACTTTCTTAGTAGAACTGAAAGTGTAAATATTAATTAGCATTTGGGTGATCTGTTACTCAGAAGTTCAGAGAAAAATAAAATTGCTGAAGACTTAAGCAGTTATTGTAATGCATAGAAGTGACTAGGTACTCCTAATGTGTATTTGTATTTATTGTAGATGTAGCAGTTCTGTACTCTTACAGCACTCTGCTTTTATTTGAGGTACTAACATCCAGAAGAGAACAGAATCTACAAGCTGTGTTGAGTTTGCCTCTGTATTACATTTATTATTTTACTGTTTGACTATTTTAATTCTTGTGAGGGATGGAGACTTTCAGGTAGTAATTCTTGCATTTGTAGAAGATGACATTTGTTACAAGGATATTTATGTAAGAAGTTCTGCTGCAACTCTAAAGTCTGCTGGAGTTAGTTGAACTTGCTGTGCTTTGTAAATCTTTTGTGATGCTTCTTGTTTTGGCAATGCTGCTGTTACATAATGGAGCGCATTGGCATTTAATAAAGTTACATTTTAGCCTTATCCCTTGTAACTTGCTTACTTGTAGCTGCCTTAAAGCAGGCTTCATTTTTAAAATTTAAAAGCTGCTTAATAAAATTTAACTTTTTGTAATTAATGGGCGACCCCCCACACTTAAACCAGTGCAACTGGCAGTGAATTAGACCACTATTTAAAATGGGTTGTTCTGTTAGAGAATAAGCAATTTTTCTCTCTTGAAATGGGTAGTGAGAGAATCTACAGAAAACACCTCTTTTCCGTCCTCCTGACACATACCCTCTATTTATTTTTTTTTGCAATAAAAATTTGCTATCTTTTACTCCAAAGCCTTCAACTCTTGTTCTTTATCAGTGCACACAAAAAAAGTTTGTTAACCCCCTGCTATCTTCCTTGTTTGCAGGTCTATAACCGAGAGGGCCTCAGACTCCCACTACTCTTGTGTATCCAGCTCATGCCCAAAGTTGTTTACCTTGACACTAAAGAAGGGAGTGAACAAGCTTAATCTCTTGCATGGGGACTAACTTCTATCTAGTTTTCTTTCACACCTTAATCTCCCTTGTGTTCTGTCTTGTGGAGACTTTTTCCAGACTCTCACTTCTCAAAGTATTCCACCTGGTGGCAAAATTAGGGAAATAGTTAATAGAAATGATTTATACAGGCATAGATCAAGTAGTCTAAGAGCCTGTAATACAAGTCCTAATTTATTCCTGTTCCATATTTTGTGGTAGAGAGAGAAATTAGAATATATCTGAGCACCTTAAATAAGTTTCATGTTTGGTTTTTTTTTGCACTTATAGCAATGTAGGTTTGACCTTTGCCACTTTATATTCCTATTCACTAAAGATAAATACAATGTGATACCTTGGCAGTAGGAGTGAAGGACCATTTTAACAGTGAGAAGACAGTATCGTGTATTTAGTACTTTGTTCTGTTTCATGAAAATTCTTGCTTCTCTGTGTACCAGTTGATGAGAAATTGGAACAGACTGTTGTACTTCCAAGTAAGATAGGCATCCAGATATCTCGTGGAATATTTGCCTGCTTGTTTTAGAACAAATAAAACCAGTTACTGTCAGGAGTCATCTGGAAAATGGTCCTCTATTTCAGGAGATAGTAGTAGTTCATTGAATGGTGGTGGGTTTTCAGCCTTGTAGTAAGGGAATTAAATCGGATCAGTATTAAGGGGAGCTAAATTGTATGGTTCCTCCTTCCATTGATGTAAAATCTGCTATTAGTCTGTCCTGAGGTCTACAAGCTCAAGTCCTATATACTTTAAGACCGCTGAACCTCTTAATTTTAGAAATGGCAGGGCAGGAGGCTGCTTGTCTTTTTATATTGACATGTATAAATACCTTAAAATGATAATGTATATAACTAGGAACACATTTGGGAAGCCCACTGAAAGATAGTGCCCAGTAGCTGAATGTCCCAATGTTCTCTGAGTGTTCAGTAGTCACATGAGCTATCCCATTAAATTGATTTTTAACTCTGTTCCCTAGTTTGACCTTCAAACCTAGTGTTAAATATTATCCTGAATATACTTTTATACTAAATAAAAGATGAGATTTTTTTGCAGGTTCAAATTTTCCATTTTTATATCTGCTGTGTTCTTTGTGTATACAAGACCATTAAAATTGTTGAATTTACTTACCATATATTGTTTCTTACAGGCTAATCACAGTGTATAGAAGCATTACACTGTTACAGTATAACTTAAATATTTCTTTATTTTCTGTAGATCAATGTCAGAGTAACCACAATGGATGCAGAGTTGGAATTTGCCATCCAGCCCAATACAACAGGCAAGCAGCTCTTTGATCAGGTAACTTATACGTGTCTCTGTGGATGTATGTGTGCAAACACATAAAACCATTGTGGGCATTGAGGCATAGTTTGAGAAAGCGGAAGTGTTCTCATGTATAGATTATGTTTTTCCTTACGTTATCTAAGCTATGCTCTCAGTTAGTTTGAACTTCTTCATTTCTTCTCATGGAGTATTAAATTCAAAGACAGCTCTGTGTAAATAGATTAACAGTGAGGCTTCAGTTGAGTCATGCATATAGAAGTGCTTTGAAATTAATATTTTTTTATGTCTAATCACATTATAATTGAAACTGCAATATAATTGTTAGAATTACATGGATGAGAAATTTGTATAGTCTTCACTAATTAATAATAAATGTAACAGTAAATGTTCATTAAGGAAAGGTAACATCTTTTGGGTTTTTTGCAAGAATGGAAGCTGTAGATACTTTTCTACTTCCTGAATGTTAGAAAAGAAATGTTGTCCTGTGATCCAGTTTGAAATATAAGTTAAAAAAAAAACTAAGTGGAAAAGTGAAAATGATGGCTTTAACGTGCTTATGGATTGTAGACCCATCAGAACTACGCATTCTCACTTGATAGTGTGTCTGTCATACACCAGTCAAATGGGCTAAATGAATGATTTCTTAAAAAGGATTGTTCTCACATTCATTTTATGTGATGTTAGCCATCAGAATCTTGAAACAATTTTTTGATCTAGGTTGTGGAGTGTTATAGAAGAGAAGCTTGTCAATGTCTGGTTTTGTTTTTCCTTGAGAAACCAGTAAATATATTATGTAGATCCAAGATGTATGCATTTAGTAAAAAATGGAGAAATATTTGAAATTAATCTTCAAAAACAATTTTAAATATATCAACGATTATGTCTAGTAGAACTGTTGTTTCTGTTCACTCCTCTATAGGTGCTTAAAGTGTGTAATAATGGGTATTAAGAGAAAATAACACATTGAAAGAGTTCTTTAAGAACTCTCAAACCTTTAATTGACCTTTAACAGTATTAAATGTCTTAGTATGTAAGTTGAAAGGGGGAGAATATTTATGGTTTTGTAACACTGAGCTTTTTCTTTTAGAGAAAAGAAATTTTATTTGCAATTTTTGTTTGAAATGACTGTTTGACTCTTAACTCTTCAACCCCCTTTCCCCTTTCTCTTAACATCAGTAGCAGTGTATCTTCAGCCTCTACATAAGAATAGGCTCCATGACTCTTAGAAAGACTTCTTGAAGAAACAGGCTGTCCTGCTTTTTGTCTAACCAACACCACCATCAAATAAAAAGCATAGTATTTTGTAGCACAGAAGCCTCAAGCTGTTACTTGTCTTTTGCCAACCTTTGCTATCTTCTGCCCTGCAGTATTGGGTGGGGTGACGTTCTGCTGTGTAATGTCTTGTGCCCAGGTAATCAGGTTCATCCAAATTGGGGCATTCACAAACAGAGAACAAAGACAAAGCTCTGAATTCTTTTTTCATGCTCTCTTCAACTTTGTTCCTCAATTCACTGTGTGGCTTTTAACACCACCAGCTCTTACAATCAACTTCTGGAAGTTTAAATTGAAAATTTGTTAGATCAAGCAAAATCAACCAGCATAGTTGTGTGTGAGGAGAAGCATTTTCAGCCTGATCTTAAACTCATACGTGAGTTCCACAGAGTAACATCAAGAGCTGAACTGTATTGCAAAAGCAGCATGAAATTTTCAGAGAAAGTTATGCTTTTCCCTATAGAAAGGTAACTGAATAGCACTGTTATTGAAAGGATTGGTCTTCAGGGCTTATGCAGAAACGGTGGACGTGGCAGTAGACTTGTTGGTTATTGCTTGCAGAAAATAACCTCCTCATGAATTTAGTTGTTGTCTAGTGCTCGTCTATGTTTTTGGTGAACAACTTGTCCTATTTTTCAGTCTTTTAAGCTTTTAGTTGGTGTTTTCTGGAGTTGTTGATTTGTTTCCCATTCCATGTATGTGTTTTCATCATCTTATCTACTAGCAGACAAGAATTCAGCATTTGAGGTCTGTGGCTTTCTCTTTTCTCTTCCATTGTGAAACTCAGTATAGTTCTTATTTATTGTACAAACCCATTTCTTTTTAAAATTACTCGTAATTCAGAAGGTGTCTTAAGACAGATTTATTGTTAGTCCTTCTGACTATCCTATCAATTGTCAGAACAGGCAAGAGGGGATCTGTCCTCCTTTAGTCACCCAGTTTAGCATCTGTAACTTTCCTAGGAGAGAGAGAACCCTGTGGTAGGTATGTTTCCACACATGGGTGGTAATGGTGGGGGTTGTTTTGTTTTGTTGTTTTCAGTAAGATCTTATCACTGAGCATCAGTACCTCTGGTTTACTGTAGTTACCATTCAGAAAGAACGGGAGGGTTGTCTCCTTTATTTCAAGTTATACCTCACTGTCTTTCCTGGATATCACAGAAGCTTCTCTTATGCTCTTTAGGAAGCTTACTCAATGAAATTCTTCCTAGATTGTCTTTATGTGTATGTTTTGATTTGCCAAAACATGTATACTTTTCTAGTTGCTTTTCTTCTCCAAGAAGTTTGTATTGCCTATTAATAGTCAAGTTGTAGGATGTGATGGTAGATAAATCTGTTTTTCAGATTTTTTTTACTGTTTTTCATATCATGCTACCGCAATGTATAAGCGCTTATATTATTTTAGTACAAAGTTTCAGAAATTTTTTTCTCTTTTCTTTGAGCTGAGAGGCAGTGATAGATGATGCTCTTTCCTTATTTGTGGAGCCCGAAGTAAAACAGGCTAATGTGTAAGCTGTTCTTAGTGTTGATTTGCAAGCGTGTGCAACTCTGTATTGCAGTAGACAAGTTGTCTGTATTTAAATAATGTGCAGTGTGCGTCTCGGTTGAAGAGCCATAGTTAGCAGGTAAGAGCAAAATGTTTTGATGTGAGCATAATCACTTGTCCCCTTTGCCTTATGGGCAGAGCTGTTGAGCATCTGCAGTTCTTACTGACTTTTGCAGCTCAGAGGGTTGATCAGGTACAAAGGCTCAACTTGGACAGCTGCAAAGTAAAGAACATTCTCAGAGTCATCTGATAAAGCCATAGTTTGAGCAGCAATGTATAGGAGATCTGTGCCAAAAGAAGCAGCAGGTCTAAAATTTCAGTGTTGGGACACCAAATTTAATGTTACTCAGGATCATAGTAGTAACATGAACTTGTTCTTAACATTTCTTATGTTAAAGTAAATGGTGTAGAAATTCTACAGAGAAAATAACTGTTCGCTAGAGGAACGAGGTTGGATCCATGAACATTGTCAATTCTGTGCTTTGGAGCTTGAAGGTGAAGGGATAGAGGAGGAAAAAAGGTGCACTTGAATGATTGTTAAGTAATAATACAAATATGCAAGGCATCAGAAGTAAGTTTGCACAGCTATCTTGTGACATTTTCTAATTCTCAAAATCTTAATTTTGCAACCCGATAGTACTACTTTAAAATGGAGGAGGATCTATGTGTAAAATTCTATTTACTTCACATGCATCTGAATGCTTCCATAAAACAGCCTTCAGTAAACCAGCTTGCCAGCATGGTCCAACCTGAGAACATACGTAAGTACTGCCATCCTGGATCTTTTGGAGCCAGAGTTTACAGTTATTTAAAATCTTTGCTGGACCTTTCCATTTAATCGCTTATTGAATCCATGTGCATTTTTACTATGCAAGACTTGTAAGATAGTTCCATAGTTTCATTCTGTGTAATAAAAGTGCTTCTATTTGTTTGCTTTGACCTGCTATCTAATGATTTATGTTGATTCTCTTAATTCTTACATTATGAGAAATAATGAATAATTATTCCCTATTTTTCTTCTACATACCGTGCAAGTTTTATAGACCTGTATCATATTTTTCCTTTCCTTGTTTCTCTGTCAGTAGTCTTAGTTCTTGTATTAGCTATGCAGAAAATATTCAATATCACCGATCATTCTTTTCAACGTTTCTGAAACATTTCCAGTGCTGCAGCATCCTTTAAGTTGATGTGACTAGTCCATATGTAGTGTTAGGGATTTGGGAATACCATGGATGTGTATAGTAATATAACAGCTTTGTTGCTTTTTTTCTTTGCAACAAGAAGTTTGATCGCATAATTAAAATTGTTGTCTTTTATGTACAGCATTTTGTTTTTATTAAATATCATCTTTTATTGAGGTTCATCTTCCTTTTTACTGTTCATTCGCAGATCTTTATAGAAGGTTTTCTACAGCAGATTTTGTCACATCAGTTTCATCCTTATTTGCAGATCATATATGAAGTCCTGGGGGACTTCCCTAGCCATTAGACTACAAGTCTGTTGTAAAAACAGTTTGTTTGATTTTATTTTATTTTTTTTAAATTTTCTTTTAACTAGTATATCTGTAAAAAGGCCTTCCCTCTGTTCAAGGACAATTTTTGTTTCTTTAGTAGCCTTTGGTGATAGACCTGATCAGAAATCTTACAGAAAATCCATGTATTGTTTATCAGCTAGATCATCCTTATCCCATTCACTCTTAGAAGATCTCAAATATTTGAAGGAGGTGCTTCATCCTCATTACATCATACTTGTCCACAAGTATTATTCTTTATTTTAGTTTCACCAGTTGTCTTCTGTTGAAGTGGACTTCTCTGTGGGTCTGCAGATCACTTCCCAGAACTGCTTTCAAATATCAGTGTCCCATTTGCTACCTTGTATTCCTCAGGTGCTGAGTTTGATGTACGCAGTAAGCTGCAGGTTCTGGTTGGTAGTTTGGCAACACAGTGTTTGAGTTTAGAACTCTGAGGTGAATGCTTCCCTCAACCTGATGTTTTGCTACTATTTTACTTGTTTCTTGTAAAACCTGATTATATTTCAGTTTGAGATGGTTTCTGTATCTTAATTATCATAAAAAAAATTCCTGTTGTAGTGATTACTGATGATTATGGATCATTTATCTTTAGGTGGTGAAAACTGTTGGTCTTCGTGAAGTCTGGTTTTTTGGGCTACAGTATGTGGACAGCAAAGGCTACTCAACTTGGCTGAAGCTAAATAAGAAGGTAACAATTCCCTAACATCTAGGCAAGAGTACAGTTTTGAAATACTACTTTTATAAGGCTTTCTGCTTTAATGTAGGTGAGATATAGCTGGCTTCAAATTTAGTTGAAAAATTGCTTTTCATTTGCTTTAAATGACAAAATACAGTGTTAAGTTTAGTTAGTTACCAAAGAATATGCAAAGCTGCATCAACATTTAATTTGAGAAGGAGATACTGTTTCCTGTATTTCCAGTACCGTGGTGATGCATGCATTAGGAAAACTTAAATTCATATGATGTCCTGTTTTCACATAGCAAAATATAATAGAATAAATGTTTTACAGTTGTGTGTGAAGTATTTGAGCTTTGGGGATTTGCGTGTATACAGCTATAGATCTTTAAACAAGGCATCAATAATAGGCTCCTAAACTTCTGTTTAGTTATCAAATAGGAAGATTTTAAGATAATTTTTGTTTTCCCCAACAGCACTGAGCACCTTGTCTCTCTCATCTATTGGGAACCAGGTCCCTTTACTTTAAATTCTGTTTATGAATTTGAATGTCACTTTTTATTTTATTATCAGCTGTCAAGTTTTTAATGGCATTGTTTAGAATAAAGAGGTTTGTGTTTTGGTTTTTTTTTTTTTTTTAGTTCAACTTAGTCAAGATTACCTTCTTATCGTCAGTATTAGGAGATAAATTGGGAGGTTTTTAGGAGCAAGTCCCACTCTGCATTTTATATAATCTTTCCTTCTCCTCTGTGGTAAAACCAGTGAGTTGAACCTGCTAACCACCACAGCTGTCTGCTAGAATTTCACATCTCTGTCTTGTTTCATAGGCAATAAATATTGTAGTGCTACAAATATTTTGCTAACCCTAATGGTTTGCCTCCAGTGGTTCAAGACTACAGGATTTGGTGCATCATTTGTGAAAAATACACAAAACGTTGCTCTATGAAAGTCTTTAGTAAGTTAAGTTGCTGGTGCAGTTCAGGAGCATCAAGTGTGTGCTAATTTCTTTAACTTGGTCTAAGACAGTTATCTTTCTCGTGGGTGTTTGTTTTTTGGTTGGTTGGTCATTGTCCCTTGCCCCAAAGTTGTAATGTTTGATTCTTAAATGCATCATCATAAACTGGCTCTAACTTGTAAGTTACTATTTAAATATTTGCGTTAAATGCAGATAAGATTTGATAAATCACAGAGTAGATGTGCAGATAAGGCTTTATTATGGTAAGAGCACAACTAATTGATCATTGGTGAGGTTAAAGTGAAATACTGTGTATGTAAATCAGAAGCAGATGGACAATAATGAAATGTGAGCAAAACTTATAAAATTGACATCTGAAATGTTGAATATAGTACTTATGCTGCCTTACATATGTGATTAAATGGTTGCATTGTATTTACAGTTTTTTATACTTCCTACAAGTCAAGCTGACAGATGCATCATTTCATGTGTAGTGAAAAAGTTCTAGAGGGACTGTTAGTTCACATAAAATTAAATGTGTAATAAAGTGCTTGAGGAATTGGGATGTATGAGATTTATTATGAATGTACCTTTTAACAACCACTGGATTATTTATGTTAAAATTAGTTTAACATCAAATTGGTTTGAACGTTTTTGCTTTAGTCATAATTGGTGCTGAAAGCTGGGCCCAAATGAAATGGAAAATTTGCATAAAATTGAGGTTTTGTTGAAATTTGAAGTAGACACTCGTTTAAGATGACCACACTGGATCTCTTCACAGAAATCATGATTACAAGACATAACTATTCTAGAAGAATAATGTGTTTAATGGAATGCTGTGGGTTTGCACAGGAACAAAGCACATTTTAGTTCAATAGTTCAAAGACTTTTAAAAGAATCCAAGTTTATACTTATATTGAAGAAAAGTGCTGTTGTTCTTGCTAAAGAAACCTTGTGACACCCTAATTTGTTACTTCCTGCAATTTATCCTTGGATATAGTTACAACTTGTTTCTTTCTAGATCTTTATTGTGATAAATACAAATTCACACAAGACTACAAAAAAACCCCACTCTTAAGCAGCTTTTGAGTAGTATTTCAAAATTGTCTGATTTATCTAAATTGCTGTACTTGATTCAGTGCCACATGAACCTTTAGTGAGTTCCACAGTGGGCTTGTCAGTAAGCGTTGGGTTTCAGTGTAGAGGAGCTAAAGAGTTCATTACTACTGCATTAATTATATTTAATATACCATTTAGTGCGCTTTTTTTTTTTAATTCCTCTCCTTCAGGTAACACAGCAAGATGTAAGGAAAGAAAATCCTTTGCAGTTCAAGTTCAGGGCCAAATTTTTTCCAGAGGATGTATCTGAAGAATTAATTCAGGAAATAACTCAGAGACTTTTCTTCCTGCAAGTCAAAGAAGCAATCTTAAATGACGAAATATATTGCCCGCCAGAAACTGCAGTTCTTCTGGCTTCTTATGCTGTCCAGTCCAAGTATGGAGATTACAGTAAGGAGATACATAAACTAGGCTACCTAGCCAATGACAGACTTCTCCCTCAGCGGTGAGTGAGACTACAGATGTTTTACACCTGCTGCATATAAACTTGAACAGCACATTTTTCATAATTAAAATATTAAGTGATGATGTGCATTTAATGGTAGTTTTCTTAAGAGTGCATGTTATGCTAGTAAAATTTAGAGATCGTAATTTAGACTCTAAATAACAAAGAAGCATCACAACCATGGGTTTCTTGAGGCCTGTTTCCTGTCCTGTCCACAACCATCTGTACAGATTTAGTTGAACAAATGTCCAAAGTACTCCAAAATGATATAATGTTCCTGGAAGCTTGCTTCTGCTAAATTAAAATCAAAATAATATAGAAGTCACTAAGATTCATTTGATATTCACTCCTTTTCTTGAGTTCTTGATGTGTTTGCACACTTAAATGATGATAATTTCCTGAAAGTAACTATAAAGTATATTGTAAATAAAATATATTGCAAAAAATGCTAGCCTGGACAGAAAATTTAGAAACTAAATTGTTGCCATTGCTGTTGAGCATAAACTTTTTTGAATCAGTGACTCATCTAGGTGATTAGGAAAACTAAACACCAAGATTATATTTCTGTTTCTTTACAGAACTGAGTCCATGCTCCTGGCATGTTTTGGCAGCAAGAGAAGCATTGCAGCAAAAATGTACAAGATTAGACAATTATGTTAGTGTAGATGAATCCATAGTGATGTATTGTGGACAAATGTGTGTTTACTAAATATGTAACATTAATGCATTTTCAAAGAAGTGAGAGCCATGGAATGATTTGATGTTTCTTTAAAAGTCATATGCTTCTTCTCTTGGGTTTGAAACTTAAAAGTAGAAACTCACTCACTCAGTGTAACTAAGCTGGAGAATTTTCTAGCAAGTGGAAAAAAAACATTTCCAAGAATTGTGATAAAGTATTGAAAGAAATATTTCCGAAAATGTTTCAGATTTTTAGAAATCCTGGTGAAGAGTTTGGTTTTGGCTGTTTACTTCATTCTTGTGACAGTAAAGTCTATACCTCTTTCTAGAAAAATACCCTTTGTTTGGAAGGCAGGGAGATGTAGAACCAGTTCTGCTGGTTCTAACTAACATCTCACTAACATTACTGAATATGTTAGTTCACAAATCTTGGGTTTTGCTCAGTTGTGATGACAGCCTGTGAATGCTGGAGTGCTTGTGTACAACACAAATTCAAATACTTAAGATGCTCCTTTTCAGTAGGCAAATGTTCAGATGGTTTCCCAGCATATGCTTTCAACCAGTCATGTGCACTGAGTGAGCACATAGCTTTTGTATTAATTCTAATACAATTATTCCTGGTTTGCCTCCTGTCACCAGGAGATTTGCCAGAAAACTAACAAGTACATAATTAAAAATACTTCAGAACAATATACAGTATAATGTCAGAAATACTTGTTTCCCAAAGTAGACTAGCTTTGAAAAAATCTACTGAAAAAGATGAGAAAAGATTTGCAGTTCCTGTTATTTATAGCGTCTTAAAGTTCACCTGTCAAAACTACTGCATATTTCTTAGCTCAGAACTATGAGCTGGGCAGCAGCAAGGCATCAAGTCCTTGCTGAGTTACTCCATTGCAATAGTCCTTGCGTATCTGCTAGTAACGTTTCATCACTAGCATGCAAAGAGGGAATGGAGAGGACCAAATGATGAGATGGCTATTGCCAAAGACACTAAAGCTTTAAGGATACCATAGAAACCCAGAATCATTTGAGGTTGGAAGGGGAGCTCTGAAGATAATCTAGTCCAGTCCCCCTAGTCAAAGTAATGTAGAGATGTGGCTCATGCCCCAAGCCTGTCAGCGTTTGAAAGGCTTTTGGACAAAACCCTTAATAGCATGCTTTAACTTCTGGTCCACCCTGAACTGGTCAGGCAGTCGGACTAGGTAATTGTTGTGGACCCCTTCCAACTCAAATATTCTATACTGATTATAGCAGGTTGCTCAAGGCCTTTTCCAGTTGGGTTTTGAATATTTCTAAGGATGGACGCTCTGCAATTTCTCTGGACAACCTGTTCTAGTCTTTGACAACCTTTACAGTAAAGAAATAAAATAAAAAATTGTGTTCAAGGTATTTCACTTGTTCTCATTGTCTTGTGTCTTTCAATTCAAATTCAAATCAAAAAGAAGAAAGTTCAAAGAATTTCTATAGAGGTAGAAATTTAACTTAATTTGGAAAGCCAAAGAAGGCACAAGACACCATGAGGATGACTGAGTGCAGGCACAGGTTGCCTGGAGAGCTTATGGAGTCTCCCTCCTTAGAGATGTTCAAAAACTGTCTAGACATGGTCCTGGGCAACTGGCTATAGGTGACACTGCTTGAGCAGAGGGGTGGGCAAGATGACTTCCAGAGGTCACTTCCAACCTCAACTGTTTTGTGGTTCTGTGAAGAAGAGCTTGGCAACAGGGCTTTTATTTTCAGATGTACGCTTGTGTGACATAGTACTAGGAGAGTGTATTTTGTAATATCCTGTTTTATCCTTAATTTTTTTTGTTAGTTTTATGTTATTGTGGTGGGTTGACCCTGGCTGGGGGCCAGGTGCCCACCAGAGCTGCTCTGTCACTCCCCCTCCTTAACTAGACAGGGGAGAAAAGGTATAATGAAACGCTTGTGGGTTGAGATAAGGACAGGGAGAGATCACTCACTAATTATCGTCACAAGCAAAACAGACAATTTAGAGAAAAATTCATCTAACTTATTACCAAGCAAAA